CACACACACACACACACACACACACACACACACACACACACACACACACACAGATAATTTAATTTTTTATTTAAGTTTTTATAATATTCTGGCTTTTCCATAATCTAATAATTTTGTGTAAAAGATCATTATCAATGTGATTAATGCGTTATATAAATCAAATTGTTACAGAAAGCTATATAGCTTCGTCTTTTTGATACTGAAAAGAGCAGTATTTAACAAAGAATATATATGATATATTTTTTTTGTCAAAAAAGAAATATAAACTAAATTCTGTACTTGTAAAAATAAATTTTTACAGTGAATATTCAGCTATTGTGATAACGTTTACGTAACGTCTCTGTGTGTGTATGAGCGTACATGTATTTTTTTAAACGTTGAAAATGCTTCGAAAAAAAATCTCTGTCAAACCGCGCAATCATGATTTCTCACATGAAGCACGTGAAAACTTTTCTTTTACTTTATTTAAAAATAAATAAATAAATAAAGTGAATAATAAAATTAAGGTAAACGTTATAAAAAATTATTTATTACGTAGAAAATTAAATTTACTTTATTCCTTAAAAGAGTATATAAAATTGCATCTAATTGTTATTTTTTCCATTATAATTTCGATACAGGAATTAAATTTTAAAAATTATAAAAAATTCATAATATCTAAACTATCAAAGTTTTATAATTTTAAATTTCTAAAGTTAAAAATTTTTGAAAAATAAAAATGTAAAATTAGAAATTTTTTAATTTTAAAGTTTAAAAATATAAAACTTTAAAAACTTGAAGTTAAATTTTTATAACGTCCTATTTTGAAATAATATTATAATATATTATAATATTCGCGCGGTTTATTATTGCTGTTCTCTCGTTAAAAATTTCTTGTTATATATTAAAATATTAGAAATTAACTTCTTCATGCTAGCGACATTTGTACGGTATTTCTTCCTTTTTAAGTTTGTTCACGTCAAAAAGATTCAGTCGAGTTGTAGTCAGTAAATCATCCCTTATCTGTACAGGAGTGACTTCTTAAATACAAATAAATCATTTTTACTAACGTCGCTAACATCTTTTTAATGCGAGTCATAACGCAACTTACTTCTATATCGCAAATCAGGATATTTCGTCGCGAATATTTTGCATTCAATATTGTACATTTTTGTCCTCCTCTAAACGTAAATGAAAAATAAGAGAGATTCTGTCGCTTTATCCTGTGAAGGTATTCTCAGAAAAGAAAAAGAACAATTTTCAAACAGAAAGGAACTGCGGAGTTTTATCAATGATTGCATCCTGTTGTCTCGCATCTCTGAACATATTTTTAAATTGAACACGCAGTTTTCATTTAAAAAATGGCAAAAATTTACCTGCACAAATTCATTATTAATTTTATTTATACATTGTTGTTTTTTAATTTAAAAGTCTACTAAATATCTGGTTATATTCAATTTGTAAAAAATTACAAGATAAAACTAAATAATTTAGATCGATTTTTATACAGATTTAAAGTTTGTTCTCGTTGCTTGAAATCCCCATAAATTTTTCAACTTAAAATGAAATAGATATATATTTACGTGTTGAAAAGAGAGAAAAAGATGCTGAGTACAAAAAGTGCAAACAACGCGAATAGCCTTTAATTTTTGTAAATGTTATAAATAATAATAATTAACAAATCTAAATTGTTATACAAAATAAAAAAGAAATATCTCTTGTAAATAAAATAAGATAGAAATTGGAATTGATTTTGAAAACGATTTTTAATTTTACAAAATTAGTTAAAATATCTTTTTATTCGCTTATTCATTGAAAGTATTCATCTCTATAAATCCTCTCATGCGATAAGAAAAATTGAAGGCGATTTTTCATTATTAAAGAAACTTAGATATTCTTCCCGCATAAATACGAAACTGACATGGCAGTTTCGCAAGTTTGTTGCAGCTGAAATGAGTATATTATTCTATCAAAACTTCGGAAAAAGAGTGACTTTTCTGAAATCGTAGAAATAGAATTTAGCGAGTGAGTTTACTGCAAAGATGTGAACATCAAGACAATATCAATTATGTGCATCAGATATAGAAAACTTGATAAAAAAACTGGGTCAAGTATACAAGTGCACGCTTTAGATTTTTCAGATTTCCTTTCTCTACGACTAGTAACTCACCTCCTTGACTTCAATTCTTCTTCGTGAATTCTTTAAAATGACTATCGAGTAATCTCCTTGGCGAGAAAGTAAGCAGCTTTAAAATTGCTCAAGAACCATCGAATCATTGGATTGAAAATAATAAACAAAATTTATTAGCTATAAAAAATAAGTGGAGGAGTGAAATAAATAATAAAATTATTATAAAAATGTAAGTAGGGAATATATTATTATATAATTAGAAAAATATTGTTTAAGTTCTCTTTGCAAAAAATTTAAATTAAATTTTACAATAAAATTCTAAGATAGAAAATAAAGTTCGATATCATATATCATATACACAAAAATACTTTTATTATTTAAATATACAAAACAATTTGCTTTTATATAGGAAGATATAAAATTATATATGTACATTTTTTGCATTACATGCAAAAGGGAAAGTTCTGAATTAACGAGAATCAGATTCGCTGGAATCTGTATCACTTTCACTGTCATCTATTGTCTGATTAGGAGGACATCTATTCGTATTTACGAAAAGCTCTTCGTCATCACACGTAGTATAATTTGTTGCTATCAAATACCCGTTTCTTTTTGGATCCTCATCGAATTCTGGCGGCCAACAATTCTGTTCACGATACCATTTTATGTGATCCTACACACATACACACACATATATTGTATATATACACACACATATGAAAAATATATAAATATATATACGTATTAATAAAAAAAGAAGTCTTTTATAATACTTGTGAAAATAATTGAAATTTAATTATTTTTTATAATTATG